CAGCCTAGCCAGTGGTGACGAATTCTGTATATTGCAGTCCATCTGAGAAATGGTATTGACTGGATGTATATGTGCATGTATACTTGTTTCTAAACTGTAAAATATAAGGGGGAAAACATGTCATACATAAATATCATCCCATTTCTATGTCAGAATTAGTGGATCCATATTTTGTATTTTTCTTACATAATTATGTGTGACGCGAAAACCAAATTTTTGGTTCCCTAATGTTGACCTTTCATAACCACTGTTATCTTTTTACTCCTTTGTCTAGGACTATGTGCTGGTTTTCGGTAGCACAGATGACCATCAAACAGATGGATTATGATGATGTTGGCATACGAGAGAGAATCTTGGGTCCTTCCACATATTGTTGGACTGCAACTCCCAGCTGCTGTAGCTGGTATAGCCAGTGGTAAGGGATACTGGGAATTGCAATCTAAAACTATCTGGCATGATTCCCACCCCTAATGAGAATGATGAAGATTTTCACTGGTGGGGATGGGGAGAGGTCCCCATGGGATGCTAGGTCCCATGCACTTTGGGAGAGGCATTTGCTGCTCCACTTCAGGCTGTCTTGTCTGTTTTATTCTTGTGCTAACAAGCCTGGAAGCCTGAAACAATATGGTATATCTATTTTGAAAAACAACAGCAAATACATAAAGATATATTTATTATCTCTCAAAGGCCCCTGTTATTTATTTGTGTCATATTGTACCATATACAGACCAGTAGTCTGGTCTGAAAAGTGACTGGACAGTCACATGATTCTGGGGCCAGTTTACACTGGTTTGGGGCCCATTTTAGTTGAAATTAGGACAAGAAAAAAATCCACAAGATACTACCAGAAAACATGACTGTACTCATGTAGATTGCTCAAGTTTCCCTATCCTCTGTTTTAAGCAGTACTATTTGCATATGTTTACACAGAGCTCTACTGTGCAATTCATCCTAAACCAGCCTATTTCCCTGTGGAATTAAGTTTAATTAATAGGCCCATTGTTAACGGCAGGCTTTATTCTCTGCCTTCAGTGTAGCTGATCTGTTTTTTTGTTGAGGTTACCAGAAAAATGAATGGTAGCCAAAGTCAGGTTTCAGTATGGCATTTGAAAATGCTGCATGTGACCAGCCCTCAGTCTGAAGAGTTACACAATGTAAAATGGTTTTTCACTTCAGTCAATGTGAATTCAGAGAGAACGGTTTGGATGCTGATGGAAAAGTAATAGCATAAGAGGAGAGTCTTTGTAAATTGAGTGATAGGTGTGGAAACTATTTTCCCATCTGAACAGGCCCAGAGTCTAGGACTGCTGCCACTCTGCAGAATTATAACTGTTTGACACTGTTTTAACTGTCATGGCCCCATCTTATATAACCCTGGGGTTTCTAGTTTGTTGTGGCACTAGAGCTCTCTGACAGAGAAGGCTAGAAATCTCATAAAACCACAAACCCCAGAACTCCATAGCATTGAACCATGGCAGTTAAAGCGGTGTCAAATTGCATTAATTCTGGAGTATAGATGCAGCCTAGGCGTGCTCCTAGCTCTTACTTTTTTTGTGGATAAGCAGCAAGTGTTTATGGCTGCCTTTTTTCATGGTCTTTGCTGTGTGCCTCTGAATCTTTCTGGATAAGAGGGGCTTTGCTATGCTTGTCTAATCTTTGTAATTAACTGCTGCAGTTTGCTTATGTACTGCTGTACTTTGAACACAAGAAAGGAGTTTGAGTGCTGACTTTTGTCTCCCTGGACGTTTTCACACGGGGCAAAAGGAGGACGCTAGCCGGCCTCCTGCCGGCCTCACTCCGGCTCCATTTTCCGTGTGTTCACACACGCGCGGCGGCAAACCCCGCCCCTTCCGGTGTCATCCCTGCGTCCGGCCGGCTTTTCGCTCCGTGTGTTCAGACACACGGAGCCCTAAGTCCGGCGTCACTCCGGACGAAACAATGATAACTCCGGCTGAAGCGGCAGAAAGGTAATTCCGGCTGTCAACAGGAATTAGCCTTTCGGCGGCGGAGCCATTCCGGAATCGGCGGCACGACCCGTTCTGGAATGGCTCCACCCGGCTTTAGGAGGACAAGTGTAAAGAGCTTATAACACATTCAGTGACTCCTGAGAATTGCATGGGCTACTTTTTAGCTTCCAAGCCCAATTCAAAGTGCTGGCAGTTCTCTTCAGAGATTCTCATTTCTGGCAACCTTTGAGCTGGTTTCTTTGGAACAGTTTATTTTATGTATTAAAATTATTCCTTTTAAGGGCAGGGTTCTCTGAGGTGACTAACAATAGGACAAACTGTTAATACAAAAAAGCAACAAAAGGGTGGATAAATTCAATTCAATAGCAAACATTAGATGGCATGAAAAAGCAAGATGGGAAAATAGCAACAATGTTTGAAATGTTTCCTAAAAATCATCTAAAGCTGCATCTGCAGTGCAGTAATAATCCAGGTTGATACCACTTTCACTTCCATGGCTCAGTGATATGGTATTCTGGACACCATAGTTTGTTGTGGCACCAGAGCTCTCTGATAGAGAAAACTAAGTATCTCACAAAACTACAGTTCCCAGAATTCCATAGCATTGAGCCATGGCAGTTAAAGTAGTGTCAACCTGGATTATTTCTGCAGTGCAGATGCAGCCTATGAGACAGCTGGAAAGACTGGGGCTTCCAGAGGCAATGCCCCAGGCCCTGGCAGCAAAACTTGGCTGATTCTGTATAAAGATGATGAAGTGTGAAGTTCCACCAGTGTACCCATATGGAGTATAAGCTGGTGAAGAGGAATTCATACAGTCAATGTGGCCATTTGGGTGAGTGATGCTGTGTCCAGGGACCATCCAGCTTCCATTTCTCTGTCAAACAAATCTCTGGCATAAAGAAATACTGGATATCTACTTATACAGTAGATCTACCGTGCCTCCAGCTATGCTGCTGTAAAATTGCAATTGGATTCTGGCTCTTGACTTCCATTTCTGCCTGCTTTACATCAAATAATGTTGCCATTATTATTTACAGTGGGAACAAGGATTGTACAGAGCAGGGCCCTTAGAGCAATGACCATGAGGCGGTACAGCAGGAATCAAGAACTTGTGAACTTCCAGATGTTGTCCCATTGTGCCTCACCATTGGCAAATTTGGCTGGGACTGATAGGAAATGGAATCCAACAATATATGGAAGAATATACGCTCCTCTTCCCTGCTGTGGAGTGACCTCTCGTAACAGATCTTTTCTCAGCAATTCCTGGACTGTTTTGTGCTTGAGGGTGTTTGGCTAAGGAGAGTCTATGTGTTAGGTGCTTTTGTTCTGTGGTTTAATACAACTGTGTGTATATGAGTGTATACATGTGTCTGTGTGTGCACTTTTATGGACAAATTCAGCTGCTTGTCTTAATTAGAACTATTAAATACATGAGAACTTGATAAGTCAAAACTTCTGTAAATTTCATGGATTCAATGGGCTCCTCTGTGGTTGGACTGATAATTTAGGCTAAAACATCTGCTTGAGTATGGGCAAAATACTATGTGATTATATTAAAGAAATAAACAGTAAATAAATATTAATGGGGACTAAACCTCAAAGATCTTTCTTGATACTTTCAGACTTCTGGAATGACACTGTTGTCCCAGGAATCTGATAAGCATTTCTGTAATTCACCTTGGATTGACTAAGGGGATGCTTAGCCCATGGGAATGAGGATGAAGACTACAGAACAGCTGCAGTTTTTTTCTGAAACACACACACACACACACACACACACACACACTTACATATGCTCAGATACTGTCAGTTTTACATGATCTGCTACTCCCAGTTGCATGACTGATGAGTGCAGTTCACTTAGCATCTTGTAAACTACCCCTTTTTGTTTGTCATTTTCCTGGGTTTTGGTTGTGTGTGGAAAAAATATGCTGCTACCTCACTAAAGATTTAAGCCTACACAGATAACCTTGTAGATTGTATACTGACCTGATCTCTTTCTTGACTCAATTTCCCCTTCGTTACCAGTAAGGTAAAGGTAAAGGTAAAGGTATTCCCCATTGACAAGGTTGTCAAGTCATGTTCGACCGTAGGGGGTGGTGCTCATCTCCGTTATTAAGCTGAATAGCCAGAGTTGTCAGAGACTACTCTGTAATCGTGTGGCCAGCATGATTGCACAGAACGCTGTTTACCTTCCCACCAAAGTAGTACCTATTTATCTACTTTTATTTGCATACTTTCAATCTGCTAGGTTGGCAGAAGCTGGGACTAGTGACAGGAACTCACCCCATCATGCGGCACCCAGGCATTGAACTGCCAACCTGCCAATCTTGCAGTCAACAGAGTCAGCGTCTTAATCACTTGAGCCACTGCATCCCATACCAGGGCTTCCTAAAAAAAACAGCAGTGGCAGCAGTAACAAGAAGAATTGATTAGCAGGTGGTATATGTGGTGTAAGCCAGCTTGGTAGAATGGTGAACTAGGACATGGGAGACTATGTTTTTAATTCCTGCTCAGTCATGGAAATTTACTGGGTGATGTTGGGTAAATCCTACTTTCTCAGCCAAAGAGGAAAGCAATGGCAAACCTAGTCTGAATAAACCTAGCCAAGTAAACCCTATGACAGGCTATCTATAAGTCAGCACTGACTTGAATAGCAATAGCAAGTACATTTCTATGCCACTTACCAGTGCACTTTAGCACTCCCTAAGTGGTTTACAATGTGTAAGCTAATTGCCCCCAACAATCTGGGTACTCATTTTAGCAACCTCAGAAGGATGCAAGCCTGAGTCAACCCTGGGCCCCTGGCTACTATTGAACTCACAACCTTGTGGTTAATGAGTCAGTGGCTACAGTACAGGCATTTAACCACTGTGCCACCAGGGCCCCTTGACTTGAAGGCAGACAACAACAAGGTAAATGAGATATAGGAAACTACACTTAACATTTACTAAGATATCCTTGATAGTTTGCATATTGTTGGCTTGTCCTCAAAGAACTCGGAAATGGAACTAACTACAGACTAACTACACAGCTAGCATGGTGTAGTGGTTTGAACATTAGACTGGGAATCTGGAGAGCAAGATTCAAGTCTTGGCTCTACCATGTAAACCCACTGGGTGACCTTGGGCAAGTCACACACTCTCAGCCTCAGAGGATGGCAATGGGAAAACTCCTCTGAAGAAACTTGTCAAGAAAATCCCATGATAGGTTCACTTTAGAGGGATCCAGAGGAAATTTAGGAAACTATAGGCCAGATAGTTTAACTTCTCTTTCAGAGAAACTGGTGGAAAATGTTATTAAGGATAAAATTGTCAAGCATATGGAAAGGCAGGTGTGTATAGGTGCTTTCAAGCCTCCTGTTGACTTATGTCAACATTATTAATTTCATAGTTTCTTAGGCAAGACATATTCAGAGGTGGTTTTGCTCTTCCTCTGAAATATAGCCTACAAGCTCATATACATTGGTGATATCCCATGCAAGTACTAACCAAGGCTGATCCTGCTTAGCCTTCTAGATCAGATGGGATTTGGTGCCTTCAGGGTACTTAGGCCTGAATTGGAAAGGCAAAGCTTGGTGTACAAGGATGAAAAGGGCTTCTGCAAAGGTACATTGTGTCTCACTGAGCTCTCTAAGTTCTGATGGTATCTGAACTGGCAGAGACTGAAGAAGAAAGGAATCTTGGGTTTGTGTTAGACACTGGGTGAAAATGTCAACCTAGTGTGTGACTGCTGTAATAAAAATGAATTCCTTGTTGACCTAATTGGAAAGGGAAATGAAAATAAGACTGAAAATATACTGCTCTTATACAAATCTGAAACCCTCTACATAATTTTGGTACTGTAGAGCTGGAAAATGTATAGAAAAGGGCAACAAAAATGATCAAGGAAATGGGGCAACTTTTCTATGAGGAAAGTTTATCAAAATTTAAGGCTTAAAAAGGTGAGCAGGGGGTGGGGATGTGAGAGTGGTATATAACATAATAACATTATGAATGGTATGGAGAAAGAAGAAATAATTTTTTCTTCAATGCCCTTAATACTAGAACCCAGGATCATTCACTGAAGCGGGATGGTGAAGAGGATCAGAACAGATTTAAATTTTAATAGTTACATTTACTGCCACACTATGTAATCCTTGCCAATTTGGATGGCTTTAAAAGGAAATTGGATAAATTTGTGGAGAATGGATCCATCACTGGCTACTAGTCAGGATGACTATCATCTTTGGTATCAGTGGTGGTATGTGTCTGTAGAATCACAGAATCATAGACTTGGAAGAAACCACAAGGGCCATCCAGTCCAACCCCATTCTGCCATGCAGAAATTCACAATCAAAGCACCCCTGACAGATGGCTGTCCAGCTTCTGTTTAAAGACCATCAAAGAAGGAGACTCCACAACACTCCGAGGGAGTGTGTTCCACTGTCAAACAGCCCTTACTGTCAGGAAGTTCCTCCCAATGTTTAGGTAGGATCTCTTTTCCTGTAGCTTGTATCCATTGTTCTGGGTCCTGTTCTCTGGAGCAGCAGAAAACAAGCTTGCTCCATCCTCAACATGACATCTCTTCAAATATTTAAACAGGGCTATCACACCAACTCTTAACCTTCTCTTCTCCAGGCTAAACATACCCACCTCCCTAAGTCGTTCCTGACAGGGCATGGTTTCCAGACCTTCCTCCATTTTAGTCACCCTTAGGACGTGCTCCCACTTCTCAACATCCTTTTTGAATTGTGGTGCCCAGAACTGGACACAGTATTCCAGGTGAGGCCTGACCAAAACAAAACAGAGTGGCACTATTACTTCCCTTGATCTAGACACTATACTTCTATTGATGCAGCCTAGAATTGCATTGGCCTTTTTAGCTGTAATTGAGTTACATATCTATGTAGGCTTCCATTGGCAAGTGATTGGATGCTGTATGAACAGAATGCTGGGCTAGATAGGCCATTGATCTGATCTGACATGGTTCTTATACTCTTTTGCTCTATTTCCACTACTACAGTTAGTAGGCACAGGGTTTAGATAGGCACTGTGCTGACAAAAGCTTAAAACTCGTTGTTGTTGTTATTTACTACCCTTGAGTCAATCTCAACTCATGACAGCACTATGGATGAGACACCTCCAAGACCCCCTGTCCTCCACTGCTCTGCTTAATTCCTACAACCCCTTAATACTCTTGAACTCCTTAATAGAGTCCATCCATCTAGCATGTCGCCTTCCTCTCTTCCTGCTTTCCTCCACCTCCCCCAGCATTACTGTCTTTTCCAATTAGTCCTTCCTTCTCATGATGTGTCTGAAGTACGA